TCAAGATGAGAGGAATTGCTATTTGGGGCAAGACAAGCAGATAAATCTTTCTACATGATTCCTCATTTTGCCTTTATGGCAGCTTGTGTAAAATTTAGGTGACGAAGTGAGGGAGAATTGATCATAGTGGAATATACAGAGAAATTAATATTTTGTTCAGTCGTGCTCTCCTTATAGATTAGACTACAAATAGGTTTTGAGCTATGGTAATGCTTCTGTGGCGGAAATTTGATGACCCATCCAGAAGAGATTATGTAAATATAAAAACGCGTATAAAGTTATATGGACCCAAAAATCTGAGTTCGATGAGCGCTTAGCCAGGACAGAACCTACAATAGACTAATCTAAAGCACAATATTGTGCTGTTTATGGGAAATTCACATCAAATCTTAGGATTCGGGAGTCTTTAGGAACTATAAAAACTGCTAACATCCTGTATAGTAGGTATGAAAGAGAAGCTTGATTTGTCTTAAATTCTAGCTAGGACTATCGCACTTTGCATGACCTTAACATCAGATACACACAATAGACAATAGCAGATGCATAAACATGAGCCAACATTAAATAATCGTAAGCTAGTTTATCTACGTAAGGCAACAACTGTTACCAAATAATTTTCCTGTTCATGAATTAATTATTCTCATATGCAAGCATTCAGAATAAGTCTGAGGTAGTCAACCAAATCATAGGATGCCTCACTATAATCGTAAGCATAAGTGTATGAAAGAAATTACTATGGTTGCAGCCGGAAATCTTTTCTATTGTGCTAGTATATTTTTTGGGGTATATTGTAAATTAAGTATTCTTTCTTTGATTCTACCTGTCATGGCACAAGTGCACGCCTAGCACGGGTTTATTTGGGTCACAAGACGATGAGCCGAGTACTTCTTCGCACAATTCAACAGTATATACTTCGCTTTTTAAAGGTGGACTGTGATCTAAGAAGATATGAAATGTTATGGCATGATGGACAGATTTTAACCTAGATCTCTGAAGTTCGTTGTCACAAAAGAATGAAAAAGAAAGATTTTAGACCATAAATCCTGGAAAATAAATGCCAAATGTTTTGCCAGGTTGAATTCTCTTGATCAAAAAAGTAAGAGTACTTTCAAATGTTTAAATATTCGACATCCTCATCTATCAGAATTATATCATTCTGATATCCAGAAAACTTTTAATGCAAGTAGTCATATAAAACAAAATCTTGACTTAAATATAATTATTATAATGGCCAAAGATTGTTGGTAGCTAGAAATATAATTTACCACGTTGACAACCTAAGAAGGTTCATCAAATTTTCCGCGTCATTACTTTAGTATGCCCAGATTTGGGATAATTATAATGATTATTTAATAATACGAATATACCTACTAGTAAGCAAACAAATTTTATCAAATGGATTGCCAGGTTTAAAGGATATCACTTTAGACAATATTACGCAGAAGTATTCCAAAGAGGCTTATATAATTTCTTCTCCATAGAGAAATTGGCTCTCTGACGAAATAGAAAACTTCCTAAAAACAAACAGATCATGAGTTAAAATAAAATTTTGTAAGGGAGGCATACACCGCTGATAAAATGTCTAGGGATTAAAAGCTATCCAAAATAAAATATTTTAAAGTGTTGGCTAGAAATCGTTTACGCAATTTGGTCGAAGCCTCAGAAAGGCATTGTGGAACGTGCTTGTACCTGCGTCCTTTGCCATAGTATTTATGATGTACAGAATCTGACTATTGGCTTGGTACATTTCAAGACGTTTCGCCAGCATTGTCAGTGATAGGCATCATAGTTATCAAAATGAAGGCTTATAGGCAGCTAGATTTCAGACACCAAATAGTTTATTTCATGTGTAAAAGGAAACAACTGACAAGAGGATTTAGAGAAGGCTGAAGTAAAGTAAAAGGTCATGGCGCAGAAGTCCTATAAGCGACTCCTGACACCGATGATAAAGGTAATTAAGCTTCACTACCTCAATTTAAATCTAAACACATATAGGCGAAATTGAAGGAAACGAAAGCACAGAATGGTGTGTATACGTAAATTAACTATATGAAGTGAAGTTGAGAAAAGAAGATGCGGCACTAAAAGGTAGGGCGAAAAATAGAAAGTAGGAGTAATTCTACAACTGGCGATTATAAAATTGATCGAGGGAATTGTCTTAACATGTCAGTTCGAAATTATGTAAGTATGTGCTATGGATGGTGCCTCCCACTAACAATGCCGACTACGATGCCGACGAAGCGTCTATGAATTTACCTAGTCAATGGTTTAATATTGGAATTCACAACCTCTATGACATATGACACAAGTCTAGGTAGGTTTCACTCGTTTTCACTGTGGCTGCGACTAAGCTGAGAAACCGAGGTTAAAAAAAACACTATACAGCTGAAGTAAACTGAAACCAAACAGGTTGTATCATCTTGGTCTTTATACTTACGATAATATTTTAAACTTTCTATCTGAAATTTCTTAGCTTTCCTAAAAACTCAGTTCATGACTCTACAAACAAACACAATTAGCAACTTCCATATTACTAGGAAAGTGAGAGGTTTGAACAAGTTTGTTGAACCACAGTTAGGGAGATAAAAATACTCAAAGACTTAGCTACCTGAGACCGACTTGATTCTCCAAACTTATTCTAGCTACGCCAGATTGTATTTATGTACTTATCCGAATTTATTCGATTAGGATATATTTTGAATTCATTCATAATTAGTGAATGAAAAATTTAGGCATTCTTTAGCGCTTAAGAAGATATATAAGGATAAAGTTTTCTTTCCAAAAATAAAATAAATATATCCTAGGATGCTTATACATTTCATCTAGCCTTGTATCTCAAACGGATTTCTCATCCAAGGGGGATTGCAGCTTTAATACAGCCTGCATCCAAGTATCGACCAAAATTGGATTATAAACAGAGCCGTCTGCATAAGTTAATGACCAGGTACCTACACACTATAGAGCCTCAAAATCCATTGAGTCACAGCGGAAATGTAACTTACGAGGTAAGCCACTACGTCGTCCCGAATCACACTGAGAGTACTAATCCACTCATCCACTTTGGATGAAGCAAGACTAAATGGGATAAAAGTTTAAATAATGACCATTTTCCGGCTTGATAATTGTTATTATACTGACTATTGGATCTCAGAGAATAAATAAATAGCGCAGGCTAACATATCATATTTTAGAACAATAAATGTAAAAAGTAGGCTGCGAATTGTTAAGATAGTTATAATTAAATTAAAATTAATTAGTACTATTCTGTTTTAGTAAGTTTAATAGTTTATACTTATAATGTGTTACATTGAAAGAGTCCCTAGCTATCTGCATCTGATTGTGGCATGTTTCAACTCAACATACAAATTTTCTACTTTGATAATGGCGAGTCTTTTATTTCCTCATTTACATGGTGATAGTAATACCTCGAAGTCTTAGTATAATTATTCCTCTAAATTTAATTATCATCTACTTATTTGCTTTTTAATACCAATATTTTACTGGATTTACCTTGCAGGTGTTATCCTTTCTCACCCAACAAGACATTTTATATTACCCTTTAGCGATTTATCACTGAATTGTAAATCTTAACAACTAAATTCGTGAATTTTTTCATATAGGAGCTATGAAGATTAGACTCAAAAATCATTACCACTTTTCCTTGCTACGGATATGGTGATGGAGAAGTTTATGAAAAAGTTCAATAGTGTTGGTGGCAATCAAACAAATACTAACTATCCAGGTGTAACTAATCAAACTTCAAGCTCTGGCTACGGCAAAAGAAAAGTTATAAACTCTCCACATGCAAATATTTCTTCGTCCAATGTTCACGCGTCTTCCTTGTCTTCTGTTACAAACGGAGCAACTTTTGGTGGAATATCTTCTACCTTTGGTGTGGCCCTAGATGAAGTAATCTACCGAGATCAAACAGAAGTCCCACGGATAGTTACTCAATTATGCAACTTCATCCTAAAATTTGGCGGCCTTGAGGCTGAAGGAATTTTTCGAGTAAACGGCAATGCTCGCCTAGTTGAAAATCTGCGCGCTTCAGTAGATGATTCTGGTGTAAATGGTGTAGATCGAGGTGTTGCAAGCATCGATGCAGATTTGGAAAGGTGCGGAGACGTTTATTCTGGAGCAAGCCTTCTTAAGCTTTACTTGAGAGAGTTGCCTGGCGGACTTGTCCCTGCTCATATAACATCCAGGTTTATTAAGGTAATCAATGCTTTAATTTTTTGCACTTTATCTCGTTATGCACTCGATGAACACCAAATTTCATGATTGCTCATGGTCTTACAATCGAATTTTCTAATTTTTATTTTGTGGCTTGCATTATATTTTATATTTTTTTATCCTGCTCATTGCTTCTTTAAGTTAGTATTAGTATTTAGCACAGATCTGCATTCATTTGTCTGGCTGCTCAGTATCATGGGCCACTGTTCGGGCTCCTATCATATCTTTTCCGACATTTATTGAACATTTTAATCATACGTATGTTTCTAATACTTAATAATTTTCATAGATTATTTTACGCTTAATCTTGATTACCTGGATACTGCCATAATTGAGCCCGGACCAGTTAAAATTCTTTATCTCTACTCCAAATCTGGTAAAGCTTAATCAGTTTTAGTTATGAATTTTATATGTATTAACTATTTTGAATGTGTAACTAATTTAAATCCAACTTTCATGCACTTAGCAAGAATGAATTAATTCCTTTTATTAGTCATGTATTCTCATATTAGTTGTGATTTTAACTTTCTATACAAAGCATTACGTTTAATTTCCTTCGTCTTCTAAATTGCTGGCCCCAAACTAAACAACATAAATCCTGTCTAATGATTTTGGATATTCATATACTTCTCATATATCTCGCTACCGACCTTATGATTATTGATGAATTGGGTAGCTAAACTAACGCATTCTATTTTATGCTCAACAATGACAGGGACCATAAAGAGTGCTTACCTCGTGAATT